CTGAACCCAGCTTGACTGACCTATAGATCTTCTCTCTGACCATAAAGCCATACTTCCTTCAAGGGACAGTAAGGGCGGCACCTAGATGATAAATGCTCCAAGGGGACCTGAATCCACTGCCTGTTCCACTCTGGGAATGTGACATTTCAACAGTTTGAACTCCTGTGCCCTAGGGTCCACACAGATGTTGAGGCTCTTTGCAAAACCATAGTTCCTCTATGAGAAGGATACTCTTGATGCAAGTAAACACAGTTCCAGCACATTTGGCACCAGTTTGTTTCGACAGTTCATTTCCTTCCAGGGTAGAAACCAGCTCAATAAGAAAAAGCAAAGCAAAGAAAACAATGTGTACATGCATTATTTTAATTTAAAAAATTATATGTGTATAATATATTAAAATTAGGTAACATATAATTTCTTAAAATTAAAGATCTGAAATTTGACTCAGGGACGGAATCATGGGTTGAATGACTAGCATCACTTCCGTTAACATCTTGATAATGATTTAGAAAAGGAAAAGGGAACAACAATGGTGTCACAATGTTCTTTTCCACGGGAAAGAAAGATTCAATACCAAACACTTATTCACAATGAATGTGAGAACCTATTTTTTTTAAATAAATCTTCCATGGTGGGAAACATTCATAGTATTAACCAATGATAAATGAATAGAAACTGAAAGGTTTGTGGGCACTCGAGCCTTGGACATGAGCACATTCCCTCACGTGCTTCTCCCCAACAGGCAGGCTCAGATTCTGGATTTGTCTGCAGCAGGATTGGTGGCTCCAATTCAACAGTCATTCATTTATTCAACAAATATGCAGACCACATTCTGCATGCCAGGAATTACACAGAACACACTGTGAACAAGTTAAAGTTTCAGCTCTTGAGGAGTTTAAGTTCTAGTAAGTGAAGCCAACACAAACAAATAAGAATATAAGATAAATGCACGTAGGAATAAACGCTGTAGTTTAAGGAGAGAAAGAAGGTAGAAGAGTTGAGGGTAGAACACATTATTTAAGAAGGGATGTTTGGGGAAGATCTCCCCACCAGCTTTTGAGGTGACTTTTGAACAGAACAATTTCAGGAAGTGAGGTGTATAAAGCTCTGGGGAAGCTAAGTCCAGGACGAGGAAGTGGTGGTTCAAATGCTCTGAAGCAGAACAATGTGATGTAGTAAAGAAATGGGAAGAAGGTCATGATTGCTATAAGATCCTAACCCAGTGCTTCTCAAATGGGGTCTGATTTTCCCGCCTTGGGTACATTTGGCAATGTAGGGAGACACTTGCGATTCTCACACGGTGGGCGTGGGTGGTGAATTCTACAGCATCTAGTGGGTAGATGTCAGGGTTGCTGCTGAACATCCACCAGTGCATAGGACACTCCACAGTCAAGAATGATCAGCCCCATGTCACTAGCGCCTGAGGTTGAGAAACTCTGTTTGAAGCTCTCCTTTCCAGTGTTTCACAGACAGCTCTGTCTGGTCCTGTGATGATGAAGCCCCATGATTAAGGAGACAATTTAGACAAGGGACCAAATACAGGCTCTTGCCCCAGGTTGTATGCCTCCTACCACGAGCAAGAGAGGTCACCGAACTGGCCATATGTTCGCTAAGTAAATAGGAAGGCATGACATTGAAACAACAGACAATAAAAGGTTTAATATGTAATCGTTTTTACCTTTATGAAGTCTTTAGTCAGTCCCTTAGGGAATATAAAGAACATCCAGTATCAATTCCTTGTCTATTTGGAACCCCCTCTACATTGCCTCCCCTAATTTTGCTGCACGGCATCATTCTGCTTCATATACCATGACACAACCTCCTCATTTCCAATTTGAATCCTAAAAATTCAGCACCAAATAGTGCAATTACCACTTACAGGGTTGAATACAAACCAAGGAGAGAAACATAGCAAGGGGAAGGTAAGGAAGAAAAGAGATAGGAAATGAGATGGGCCGGGGGAGGAGGGTGCAGAGGAAGACATGTAGGAGAGTAGGGCTGACCTGGATGACAGGCATTGCTGAGCGCAGCGAGCTCTGAGCTGTCCTGGTGAGATTCTGTTAGGCCAGAACCACATAAAGGCTGCACAAGTTATTGAGGAGAGAGAAATGGAAAGATTCAAAGGTTAAAAATTCTAGTTTTCATCCTATAGTGTTTTGAATACCTATCAAATGAAATGTGTGAAGTTCTGTGGCAAAAGATGTCTAGGTCTTTGGTGGGATAGTGTATTTTGGGAAACTAGAAAGTCGTATTTTAGGCAAATTATAAAAAAGCCATGCAAGAGTGTGCACTTGCACCTTGGCATGCATCCCTTTATTTTCTCTCTATTGAAACCATTTCAGACATGGTAACTGCATGCTCATTTACAATAAGCCAGCTGCATTTTCATTCAGGATTAAAAAGAAATGAGTCAACATTGGATTTCTTTTTCTCAGCCCTGGTCTCACAATTCCCTCCTTCAATCACATACCTCTGATTGCTACCTACTTTTCTCCTCTCTGCTGCCCGTCACATTCCCTTTCTTATAAGGTTAAAAAGTGGAGACTTCAGGGGAGAAATAATGGAGGGAAGTGACACCACCAGGAACTGAAGCTAGAAGAAAAGCTTGCAGGTTGAAAAGTTGTGCTCCAGAAGTTGCATCCACTAAATTAAGTAAAATATAGGTTATTAGTACATATAGATGGTCAAATAACTGTGCCTTATACACCTGCATAGATCCTGTGTATGAGATTTTAAAACTGCTTGAAAATGGAATGTATATGATATTTGTGATTACGCCAATGATATGCACCTATAAGGAATTTCCCACTAAATATGTAAGTAATTATTAAACACTTTACCATGACACTCCGTGACCTGCTAAAAAGAGACCTTCCAGTGATGTGATAGATGATGTCAAACCAGACATTCTTCCCATGTGAAATAGTATTATGTATTTACGGCCGCATCTGTCTAGTTTCACAGCTCATTAACAAGACAGTGCAAGAGGAGATTGCACTCTTAGTGCTTGTTACGTTTACTATCTAGGCCTCTACAGTAGACGCAGACATCCCAGCATAAATAGTACACAGCGCGGATACCTTCAAACCCCCTCATGGATCTTACATGCTGATAAATGCCTCCTCCCGTCACCGAGTCCATTTACATTGTCTACAGTTAGGGGGAGCAGAGAGCACACGAATACATGAGATGAAGCGGCTCCTTCAGAATGGGACCAAGAAGTGAAAAATGGGCTCAGCAGAGGCCACTTTATCCCCCGTCAGAGGATGCAGGCTGGTGAATGTGGAATGTGCTAAGATGCATCTGGCGCAGGGTTTAATGCTGGCCAGGCGTGGGTGGGAAAATAAAGCTGATAATGATCCCGTCTAGATTTTAACGGAGAGATTAATCTTGCTTCTGTTTGGAAACGTGGAGTGTAGTTTTTTTTAGAAGGATCTCCTGGGACATGAACTTAATGTGGCAAGGGTCAGCTACACGTGAATCATCTGCCCTCTGCTTTGGCACACACAAGCGCTTCTGCATCGCTGGGAATCCCTGAGAAGGTGAAAGGAAATGGCCTGGTGGGTGTAGCTTCAAAGGGCTGGGGTGGACAGTGCAGTGCTTTTCTTTTCCCATCAGTGTCTAAATTTGTCTCCATTGTTTCTTTTTTTTGTTTTTCTCTCTCTCGTACTAAAATGGGACTTTGGCCCAGTGAGGGACAACAATGTCTTGAAGGAGAACTCTGTCCGTGGACGACAGGGTCATCTACATTGTCTGAACTCCATGTGCAACAGAGATTACACCCAGAGAAAACAAAAGAACTACGCAACAGAAATGTCCACGGCCAGTAAACAAGAGAAACTTGACCTCTGTAGCCGGCGTCTTCCTGCGGTGGTTGGAGTTGGCAAAAAATAATTGCTCTACTCCCACCCTACCCCCATCATTAGCCCATCCCACGAGAAAGAGAATCCAGAGAGCCAGGGTTTCCTAAGGCTCAAAGTACTCCTTGGGAGTGGAGTTAAGACTTACAGAAGCTATGTGAGCGGAAATGCAATCAGCACAGTCTCTTTGCACTAAAGGGTACCCAAGTGGCTTCCAAGTATTAACGTAACTTACAGTAGTTCTTCTATTATGACTGGGAGAAATCTGACTCAACATATAATAGAGTACAGTATAGTCCAATATTTTAATTTAAATGGGATATTAGACCTAACTAAAGCAACGGCGGTACGTAAGTCAGTGACCCAGATGATATATTTATTGCTGTTTCATATAGCAAATAACTTTTCATTCATTCAACAAACATTCTCCTATGCCAGGCTTCTAACTCAGCAGTGGACTTAAATCCTAGTATTAGGTCTCTCAGCTCCTTTGCAAATATGAGCATTTATGGCTTTAAAAATCATATATCTCCACCAGGTATGGTGGCTCACACCTGTAATCTCAGCACGTTGGGAAATCAAGGAGGTAGGATTATTTAAGGAAGACCAGGAGATCGAGACCAGCCTGGGCAACATAGCAAGACTCCCATCTACACGAGAAAAAAAAAAGATTGTTTTAAATAACCAGGCCTGATGGCATGCACCTGGAGTCCTAGCTACTCAGGAGGCTAAGGCTGGGGGATCACTTGAACCTGTGAGTTTGAGACTGCGGTGAGCTAGAATTGTGCCACTGTACTCCAGCCTAGGTGACAGCGAGAGACTCTGTCTCAAAACAACAACAACAAAAAAAAAAAAAAAAAAAAAAAAACCCATATCTAAAAATGTGCCATTCATAAAAGTTAAAAAGTATGCACTATTAACTTATTTCAGAGATTTATAGCCAAAAAAAATTCTCTATAGAAGCATTTGGTGATTGTAATTTACAAGATATAAAGAATGCAAATATTCCAGCCTTGTAAAACTGGATCAAGACTCCAGATACTTTCAGGATAGCCATACATTTCAATACCCTCTGTCACTATTAAAGCATTTTGGGAAATAAAAACAGGGACCACAAAACTGAGCATGACTCAGACATACCATCTGAAGCTTCCAATATCCTGGCGTCTTACAGCTGCTGGCCCATACAGCCTCTTTCTCCTGTGTTTGCTGATGCTATCATTCCTAAAAGCAAGCTGGAAAGGCTGCTCCTAAAAAGCTGATGGAAAATTGATAAGTTAAAAACAAAGAAGATGTTTATACTCTTCCCTAAAGTGAAATTCATAAAAATTTTACTGTTGTTTTTGTTGCAATTCAACTCCTTTCATTTAACTTATTGCACAATATAATTCATGAACCGAAACAATGAGGTTGACTTCCAACATCTGGGAGAATTGAAGGAAGAAGTGACTGTGTGAGCAGGAGGTGATCATCAAGGGAAAGAACAAAAGCTACCAAGATGTGCTTTCGCATATCATTCTTGAGGTTCATTTCAAAATCTCATGATCAAACTTCTCATCTTCATACCATGAATCACCTTTTCTGGATACCATGGAAGTAAAATACTTTGCAATGATGGTCGTTTTGCATCAGTTTGTGCTCATGTGCCTGCCATAATGTTCTCTCCCTTTGATTTTTGCAGAGGTATGCTGAATCTGTCATCATCAGGTATTTGGAAAGTAATTTGTAGTCTCTTGACAGTTGGTCTGTCTTTGAGATCCAGAGAGTGTGCAGACAAATATGAGTTGATAAGGCCCAAGTTAAGCAGAGGAACAAGTTTAAAACATATGACAAAGTACATATCAGAGTCATTTTACATGGGTGTTGAAAGTTAAGCAACAACACCCCAAACCAAATTTGGTTGGTCTCCTGAAATCAGGAATAAGTGGTCAAGGTGGAATGCAGGGTTAGAGAAATTGAACATCAGCTCCTTGGGGCTCCAGTGGATTGGCTTGTTCTTCTACATCAACTTCATCCCAGGACTGAGAGAAATACAGACTTCAGAGGCAATGAAATCGATAAGAAAAAAATTAAACACGCAACTTGGGAGAGAATATACGCTGATACTTACCTGATCTTAGGGAAGGAAAATACTTTCTTAGACTAAAACCAACAAAAGAAACGAAAAGGAAAAAACTGCCTACACTTGTCTAATGCTTACAGTGTACTAGGCATTGTTGTATAAGCTTCATAAATACCAGCCAATTTAATCTTTCTAACAAAGACATGAGGTGCACACTATAAATTAATCTCAGTTTACAGCAGAGAAACCCAAGGCAGTGAGAGATAAGGTGACTTACTCAAGGTGAGATAACTTACAAAGGACTAAAGCAGGACTTAAACCCAGACAGTCCAGTATCTGAGTACATACCTCAAACTCTCTGCAACCCATGCTTAGATTTTATTGTCAAAAATGTGAACATCTATAAACTTGCCAAACAGGAGAACATAAGAAGGCAGCAGGTTAATATCTGGAGAGTCTACATTGATGGTGTTTAACTCGGGCTGCAGGGAAAGCAACCGAGGGAATTGAAAAAATACCAATGCTCATACCCCCAATCCAGGCCAGTGAAACCAGAATCACTGGGAAGGGGCCTGGCATTAGTATACTTATTAAAAGCACCCCAGGTGATTCTCATGCACAGCCAGGGTTGAGAATGACTGAGACAGGACCAGGGAAATGTATACCATTATTTTAATTAAAAAAAAAAAAAAAGAACAAAGAGCACCAACAAACCAATCAAGACAAATTTCAGATGAATAATGACAATTACTGTCACTTATATATAAACAGAGGCATATGGTTTCAAAACAGAGTACCGTTCAGTTTCTATCAAAGTAACAAAAAGGCTTTTAAAAATATCTTGATAGTAATGAGACACCCTGTATTAGTACAAGAAGTATGTTAGGTCTAAAATTTGGTACACACTTCCTAGAAGTTGTTAATAAATTATACCTTAAAACACTAAAACTGATTCCGCTTCTCAGGATCTATCTTAAGGAAATAGAGATAGGCACAGACATTCAGGCACAAGCATGTCTGTAACAACATTATTTATAGTGGTAAAATACTGTTAACGTCAAACATCAGGAGAGTAGGTAAATAAATTATTCGTTCACTCACACAGCAGAATGCAGTGCAAGGCAGACATTACGTAGCTCATGCTGGTCGGGAGCTATGCCTATGATGTAATACTGCGAGAAAAAAAGATAACAAAACTACACACTATATATTCGCAAGTTTGTAAATCTATAATTAAAAGACTAGAAGGAAATAAGCAAAACATTGACAATATTCATCCCTATGTTAACTTTCTTCTTATCATCTCTGTAAATTTCAGCATGCTTGGAGGGGCACATTCCAACAGGCTGGGTGACCACTACTCTGAAAAGGTGAAGAAATCCCCCTGACACTGATTAGATCATTCTGCTAAGTTCCTCAGATATCCTTCCTAATTCTGAGATCCATGACTTTATATCATAACTCAAAGTCTTTCGCCCACAGTGTAGGTAGGCAGAGGTGATATTCACCATGCCAAGACGCTTGGTGAAGTATTTGCCTGCCGTGCTTATAAAGTAGCTTACAGGCCCCTTTTAGCTATTTGCATCTGTTTATATGTGTCATGTTAGTGCTAAAGGATAAGAACCATATGCAGATATTTTCCAAAGTCTAGAAGTAGGATCCATGTCATTGGGTCACATTTCCAAACAACTTTTAACATATTTACGCAAGTTATGAATGTACGCATATATGAATTAGCACTGTATTCTCAAATGGCTTCTAATTCACTTTTATATGAAAATGTGACTTCTAAGTTCTGATATTTTAGACACTTCAGACATTTGCAGGCACGTTGCCTCCTACGAAAGACCTCTGTGCTTGTAAGATCAGCTGAAGCTCGAGATGTCTGCACATCTCCCTCTCTATTCCATTTGTGCTCCCCCTACAAAATAAGAGTGTGTGCTCAAGTTGTTTCTTTTAAAATTAAAATCCCACCCTCAATCCCACACTCTCTCTTCTTACCCCACTCCCTGTCCTCTCACAGCCTAGCTCCTCAAGGAATCTCCACGCCTGCTGGTGTCAGGCTTCTCTTCCAGCCTGCAACCGTAAGCAATGTGTCGGCTGTCCCTATTGACCCCCTAAATCTGCTTTTACAAAGCAAGCTTGTTGGTTGCCAAACTGAATGGACTCTTGAGTTTGCACTCAGCATTGTACTTAGTATGCAGGACGTCTTGTCTCCTTAGTGTGGACTTGCCTCATCTCTAGCCTCAAGACTTCAACAGGCACCTGACTAGTTCACTCACATTCCAGTTATGCCCCTCTGTAATCCCATTCTCTAGGCTTCTGCCAAATTCCCCACCATCATTCTTCTTGCCAAACACCATTTCCACAGTTGAGATCTTACAGCACCTCCCTACTGTCCAAAAGACAAAATGCTGTTGGTGAACATTCATCCAGTAACTATGCATTGAGTGCTGCACGGTACCAGGTATTTTGTCAGTTTCGGGGTACAGTGGTGTAAATGGACAGGATCTCTGACCCTGTGGAGCTCACAGCTCAGAGTGGGAGACAAATATTCGCTTATTTATGAGCAAACAAAGTGCTGAAATGTACAATTTCAAACTGTTTTGAGGGTTCTCAAGGAAACAAATGTTATCATAGAAATTAAAAGTCTGGGGAAATGTCTTCAGTAAGAAAGTGTAGACATTTCTCTCTGAGAAGGGGACATTAAAGCAAGAGCTGACAGATGAAACACAGAGATCCAGGTAAGGAATCAGGGAATGCATGATCCAGGCTCATCTCGGGCTCTGACACAAGATGGTACTTGGCATGTCCGAGAAGGGGCAATGGATGTGGCTGGACAGTTGAGAGGTAAGGATGGCAAGAGAGAAGCTGATGGAAGTAGCTGGGGGAAAATCGTGCCTGATCTTACAGACCTGATTGAGGAATATGGGTCTTATTTCAAGTGCTGTGGGAAGCTTTTGAAGAATTATAAGCAAGGGAGAGACACAATCTAATTTTGTTTTTAAAATAACCTTCTGGCTGCATAACGACAAAAGAATGTGGAGCAGAGAGGAAGTTAGCTAAAATTGGTGAGAGTCTACATAAATTTCAGTGGCCTAAACTATGGAGGTGGCAGTGAAGATGGAAGAAAACAGACAGGTTCGGAGGCAGTGTTGCAGTGAGGAACGTGCACAGGCAGAAGGAGGAAGGGAGGGCCCAGAAATGTCTCCTTGGAGCAGCAGTGAGTGGGAATGCCACTCCTCAGATGGTGAAAATAGAGAGAAATAAATTCGGGGTGAAATTTAAGAAGTTGGCCTTAGCGATATTATTTTAGAGATGTTTCATTTGAGACCTACTGTAGAAAATTAGAAATACGAGTCAGAGGACAGATCTGGCTGAACATACAGAAGTTGTCTACATATGAATTGTATTTATAGCCACAGGGAAAGATGGAATCATCTAGCAAGGGGGTGGCAAGTGAGAAGAGAATAGTGAACCAAACAGAGACGTCCCAAATCTTTGAAATACACTGAGAGAAGGTGCTGAAGAGAAGAGAAAATAGGAGAGGGTGGTGTGAGAGGAGACAAAGGAAGGTGATGTTTTAAGAAAGAGGAATACTCCAGTATGTCAGTAAGATGAAGGTTAGGAGTTAACCACTCAAGATGATAAGGGAAGGGATGAATAAAGGAAGTGACAGCTAGATCAGAAGGATGAATAGATAGGGAAATGATAACTAGGGAGTCTGTATTGGAAACATACAGAACCTCATGGAAATCAAACACATAAAGATTGAAGAAAAGTATTTTCACCAATAAATGAATAAAACTGTTTTTAAAGTTATAATAAAATGTCTGCCAACTTGTATAAGATTCATACTTTATATATTGCTCTTGACATTATAAATAGAAAATAATTTGGCAGTAAATACATCAAAAACTTTGACCCAGTAATTGCACTTTTGGGAATCTAGGCTAAGAAATGAATCTAAAATGCTTATATGCCCCAAGCTGTTCATTCCGGCATTATTTATAATATTAAATAACTGAGAAAAAATAAATAACTGCAAATCATGGAATGGTTATGTAAATTATAGTGTATTCACTTGAAACATTATGCGGTCTAGGAGTAATATAAAAAGTGTTTATGATGTAATAGGAAGTAAATAATGAACAAAAACATATTTAAACTCTGATTACAAGGTAAACATTAATCTATGCTTAAGAAATAGAGACTGGAAAGAAATGCACCCAAAAAATCAAGAGTAGATATATAAGGGAGGTGGAATTATAGATTATTGTTCCCTCTATTTTCTTCCTTTCTTTCTTTCTCTCTTTCTTTCTTTTCCTCCCTTCCTTCCTTCCTTCGTTCCTTCCTTCCTTCCCTCCCTCCCTCCTTTCTTTCTCTCTTTTTCTTTCTTTCTTTCTTTCTTTCTTTCTTTCTTTCTTTCTTTCTTTCTTTCTTTCTTTCTTTCTTTCTTTCTTTCTTTCTTTCCCTTTCTCTTCC